AGCCCTTCCCACCATCGAGCCCCTTCCTTCTCCCACAGGGACAAATTGGCAGAGCTTCATGGGAACATGTTCGTGGAAGAATGTGCCAAGTGTAAGACGTGAGTGCCACCTGGGTGCAGGGGCAGAGGCTCTGCCAGGCTTCCCCCAGGCGGGTACACAGTGTGAGCCATGCAGCCACCATCCCTCCCTCAGGGCAGGCTCTGCCAGAGGGGTTGGGGGCCGAATCTGTTGTCCCAGAGACCCAGAGGATGTGGGGGGACTGGGGTGTGGCCCTCCTGGGGGGATCTGAGGGGCATGCCTCCCTCCTGGGGGGATCTGAGGGTCATGCCTTCCTCCTGGGGGGATCTGAGGGGCATATCTGCCTCCTAGAGGGATTTGGGGGGCATGCCTCCCTCCTGGGGGGGGTACATCCATGTCCTGGCACTGCCATAGCAACCTGCCGCAGATAAGCATTTTAGAGCAATAGAAATTTGTGACAGTTCTGGGGGCCAGAAGTCCAAAATCCAGGTGTCTGCAGGGCCGTGCTCCTCTGCAACCTGTAGTGGAGGATTTGTCCTGCCTTTTCCCGGCTGCTGGTGGCAGCCAGCCACCCTTGGTGGTCCTGGGCCTATAGCTACAGGGGCCTTCTTATCTCTGTGTTTCTCCTTTTTTTTGAGACGGTCTTGCTCTGTCACCCAGGCTGGAGTGCACTGGCGCAATCTCAGCTCACTGCAACCTCTACCTCCGGGTTCAAGCAATTCTTCTGCCTCAGCCTCCCGAGTAACTGGGACTACAGGCGCCCGCCACCACAACTAATTTTTGTATTTTTAGTAGAGATGGGATTTCACCATATTGGCCAGGCTGGTGTTGTACTCCTGACCTCATGATCTGCCTGCCTCAGCCTCCCAAAGTGCTAGGATGAAAGGCGTGAGCCACCGCACCCGTCCCAGTATAACGATTAAAGTCAGGAAAAGTAAAGTGGACATCGCCTTCTCTAATCCTGAATCCAGACTCGGCCTGTTGTCCCCATGCTCCAATGGTTCCTGTTTCTCCTGGTCCGGGATCCCATGCGGGGTCCTGTCTCTCGAGCTTTGTCTGAGACAGTTTCCTGCTTTGTTTTCTGTGCTGTGGGCACCGAACAGCATCCTGACCTGTTATTCCTGGAAGGCTCCTCGTTCGTGACTCTGGGTGCTAGTTCTGGTGACCTGTCCACCCACCTTCCTGGGAGAACGTCGCCCTAGAAACAGTGCGAGAGTCACCCACGGGGGCTGACCCAGCCCCATCCTCCCCATTCCTCCCCGATACAGGCAGTACGTCCGGGACACAGTCGTGGGCACCATGGGCCTGAAGGCCACGGGCCGGCTCTGCACTGTGGCTAAGGCAAGGGGGCTGCGGGCCTGCAGGTGAGCCACCCCCACCCATGCCCTGGGCTCCAGGGGAGGCTGCTAGGCCCCTGTGGACTCTCCTCGGCTTCCTCATTGCAGGGGGGAGCTGAGGGACACCATCCTAGACTGGGAGGACTCCCTGCCCGACCGGGACCTGGCACTTGCCGATGAGGCCAGCAGGTCTGACCCCCCCAGGGAGCCTATGGTGGGGCGGGCTGGGGCGACAGCACAAACACAGCCAGCTCCAGCACGGGGCAGTGGCTCTGGCTCAGAGGCAGTCAGGGGAGGCTTCCTGGAGGAGGTGGGCCAGGCCAGGGGCTGCGCGCGCGCGCGCGCACACACACACACACACACACACACACACACACACACTCCTCGCCTCATGGCTCTGGGTGGGTGCTGCACAAGGAAACCAAGGCTTTGGCCAGGTGTCTCTTCTATCCAGTGCTGCCCAGCGGGAGGTGGCTGAGCCAGGGTCCCACCCTAGGCATCCAAGCTCTTACCACACTGTGATGCTCCTTAGGAGTGTCTAAGGGCTGGCCCAGATCCATGACCCTGCCGGCCGACAGCAGAGGAGGGCGGGGTAGGATCCCGAAGGCTGACTCAGGAGCGGGGCTGGCCTTTACCGCCCCAGTGAGCACAGATGACCTAGGTGTGAGCCAGACCCCAGGGCTGGTTCGAGATGTTGGCAGGAGCGGGGCTGGGGAAGGGATCAGGCTAAGCCCACACTCCCTGGTCCCAGGAACGCCGACCTGTCCATCACGCTGGGAACATCACTGCAGATCCGACCCAGCGGGAACCTGCCACTGGCTACCAAGCGCCGGGGGGGCCGCCTGGTCATCATCAACCTGCAGCCCACCAAGCATGTAGGTGTCTGAGCCCACCCCTGCCCAGGGCCGCCATGCACCCTCTGCCCCACACGCCTGAACCGTCCCGTCCCCTGGCAGGACCGCCATGCTGACCTCCGCATCCATGGCTACGTCGACGAGGTCATGACCCGGCTCATGAAGCACCTGGGGCTGGAGATCCCCGCCTGGGACGGCCCCCGCGTGCTGGAGAGGGCGCTGCCACCCCTGCCCCGCCCGCCTACCCCCAAGCTGGAGCCCAAGGAGGAATCACCCACCCGGATCAACGGCTCTATCCCTGCCGGCCCCAAGCAGGAGCCCTGCGCCCAGCACAACGGCTCAGAGCCCGCCAGCCCCAAACGGGAGCGGCCCACCAGCCCTGCCCCCAACAGACCCCCCAAAAGGGTGAAGGCCGAGGCGGTCCCTAGCTGACCAGGGTGCTTGGGGAGGGTGGGGCTTTTTGTAGCAACTGTGGATTCTTTTCCTCTCGTGGTCTCACTTTGTTACTTGTTTCTGTCCCCGGGAGCCTCAGGGCTCTGAGAGCTGTGCTGCAGGCCAGGGGTTGCACCGGACCTCCATGGTCTCTCCCTGGGCTCTAGGGGCCTTTGGTGGGGTTTGGGGAAGAAGCCACACCCCAGAGCTAACAGCTGAGCCCCTGCCACACCCCATCCTCTGACTTGGAGTGTTGTCCAGAGGTGCGGCTGGGCCCTCCCTGGTCTCCAGCTTAAACAGGAGTGAACTCCCTCTGCCCCCAGGGCCTCCCCACTGGGCCCCCCACACCCCACCCTACCCCTCCTCCATGGACCCTGCAGGAGGGGAGACCCACCTCGAAGTGGGGGACACAGTAGAGGCTTTGCACTGCCTTTGGGGCTGGAGGGAGACGTGGGTCCACCAGGCTTCTGGAAAAGTCCTCAATGCAATAAAAAATTTCCTTCTTGCATCTCAGTGTGTTTATGTTATGTTATTTTATTTTATTGAGCCAGGGTCTCACTCTGTCACCAAGGCTGGAATGCAGTGGCTTGATCTCCGTTCACTGCAGCCTCTGCCTCCCTGGGTTCAAGCGATTCTCCTGCCTCAGCCTCCCGAGTAGCTGGGATTATAGGTTTGTGCCACTACACCCAGCTAATTGTTTGCATTTTTTTGTAGAGACGGGGGTCTCACTCTGTGGCCCAGGCTGGTCTTAAATTCCTGGGCTCAAGCAGTCAGGCCAGCTCGGCCTCCCAAAGTGCTAGACTTAACCGGCGTGAGCCACCGTGCCCAGTGAGTGTTTAAATTACCAATTTGTGGCAGGTCCTCGCCCCCTGGGTCAGGAGTTCGTGGTCCCCTCCTCCCTGAACCACCTGCCTGGGCTCCGTTGCAATCCCTGCCCCTCAAGCCTGGGGGCAAGGAACAAGGGCTCACCTCACCCACCCCACCTCTGGAGGGATCAGGCCAGTTTTCTGATAAAGTCAATACAGCAGCTGGCATTTTCTAAGCACGCAGTTTGTAGTTATACACTTATGTGCATTTTTTGTTTGTTTGTTTAACATTTGCCCCCAGGCTATGAGCCCCCTCCAGTGCTTTGGGCCCAATTGGGATTGCAGCCTGGCAGGTGCACACAGCCCTCTGGGGGGCAACCCCACAGAAGACCGCAGGCGCAGCCGGGTTCCACCTTTCCCAGCTGTGACCTTGGGCAGTCCCTCCACTTCCGACGCCTCCGTGTCCCCACCCGCAAAACGAGCGGGGTGGACCGCCCAGATCCCCGGGAAGGCAGCTGCCTTCCCGCAAACCCCGGCGCGGACACCTTGAAAGCGCCACGACTGCCTCCCCGCACTCCGCCTGCCGCCGCTCTCCAAGGTGCTGAAGTCGTGCCCGGCGCCTCTCCTTCCGCAGCTCCAGCGCGGGCATCTGGCGGGGGTGTGGAGCCCACACCTCACTCCCCCATCCCAGGCTGGCCCAGCCCCTCCTTCTGGGGAGTCGAGGAGCCCCAGACTCCGCCTCCACACCAAAACAAGGTTCTGTCAAAATACTTTATTTTGGATCAGGCAGTCTTAGAAAAAGGGGTGATTGTGGGCCGTGGCTGCTCCGAAGACCAGGGCGCACCCAGGGCTCCAGGGCCAGGCTCCCTGCAGTCTCGGGCGGCTGCCTCCTCCCAGTGTGCGAGGGAGGCCGGTTGCTGGGCATCTGTTGTGTGTGTGCGTCTGTCTGTCTGTCCAGGTCTGTTTCAGGCTGTGTCTGCCTCTCTGTCTGGGTCTGTTTCAGGCTGTGTCTATCTGTTCGTCTGGGTCTGTTTCAGACTGTGTCTGTCTGTCTGGGTCTGTTTCAGGCTGTGTCTGTCTGTCTGTTTGGGTCTGTTTCAGGCTGTATCTGTCTGGGTCTGTTTCAGGCTGTGTCTGTCTGTCTGTCTGGGTCTTTTCAGGCTCCGTCTGTCTGTTTGGGTCTGTTTCAGGCTGTATCTGTCTGGGCCTGCTCTGTGGCTGTGGCCTGCCTGCCTGTCTGGGCTCCGCGCCAGGCTGTGCCTGCCTGTCTGTCTGGGTCTGTTTCAGGCTGTGTCTGTCTGAGTCTGTTTGAGGCTGTGTCTGTCTGTCTGGGTCTGTTTGAGGCTGTGTCTGTCTGTCCGGGTCTGTTTCAGGCTGGCTGTCTGGGTCTGTTTCAGGCTGTGTCTGTCTGTCCGGGTCTGTTTCAGGCTGTATGTGTGTTTGCTCTTTGCTTCTGCTCCTGGCTCTGTGTGTATTTCCCGGGTCCTGTGGCTCTCTCTTTGCCATGTGTCTGAGTGTCGGTTTCTGTGTGGGCCCTAGTCAGGCCCTGGGTGTGTGGCTGTGAGCTGTGCCTCCCCCATTCTGGCATCTCTGCTGGGGTCTCGGCCTCATGTCCCATCCCCAGGTGGGTCGCTGTCCAGAGCAGCATCCCCAAGGCACCCCTGGGCAGAGGGACCTGGGAGCATAGTCCTGGCGGGGCTCACAGCTCGTCTCCCGCCGCCTCCAGCCCTGCACGTCCTGAGCCAGTGCTCGGCCCAGGCGCCACCCAGTCCAGCAGGGTGACCTGGCCCAGCCCCTCTGTTGCATTCCTCAGGACCAGGGTAGCATTGTCTACCTCCTCTGTCGAATTGGTCAGGTTTGCACTGTCCCGGAAGCCCCAGTCTGCCCCAGGGCTTCCTGGAGACCCTTCTCGGGTTGTGTCAGCCTCGGGTTGGGGTCCTGGGGCCTCAGAGCCCGGCACAGCATCAGAGGTCACGCGGGAGGCAGCATCGTTGTGCAAAGTTCTGGAGAACACTGATTGGGGAAGGGGGGCATCACAGGGGACAAGGTGGAGGTGGGGTCCTATGCTCCTTTCCCTGGCCCCCAGCCTCAGGGAACAGAAGCACAGGGGTCTTATTCCCCTCCCCCAGAGGCCTAGGACGGAGACTTGGGGAGCCCAGACAAGGGTTTCAAAGGCGGGGATCCCCTACCTCGCACAGGTGCAAAGTCCCCGGGACTCTCGGCTTTGTTGGGGCCAAAAGGGCTGATAGAGGGGAGGATGATGAGGGCAAAGGACAGCAACAGGACCTGGTGGAGACAGCAGCAGGGTCACCCCTCCCTCCCCTTCCCTACAAGCACCTCCATCCCACAGGTAGGGAAACTGAGGCCCCAAAGACCAGACTGGATCATACTTGAGTTGGGGCACGAGGAGAGCTTGGACACACTGTCACCTCCCTATGGGCCCCTCTGCTGAAGCCTAGGTCCCCGGCTTTCCTGGGGGCACCAGGACTCACCGCAACACAGGTGCCTGTCTGGGCTGACTTGCTGGTGGACTGCACCACAATGGCCTGGAGTTTCTTCAGCTGTTCCAAGAGGGACCTTAGAGAGACAGGCAGGCCTCCACTGAGCCCTAAAGGGACTTGGTCCTGCTTCTCGTCCATTTCCGGGGTCCCCCAGCCCCACTAAAGTCCAAATTCCATCCATCCTTCAAGGACCTCCGGCTCTTTATTGTTTATTTATTTTATTTTACTTATTTTATTTTATTTGAGACAGAGTCTTGTTCTGTCGCCCAGGCTGGAGTGCAGTGGCATGATCACAGCTCACTGCAAACTCTGCCTCCTGGGTTCACACCATTCTCCTTCCTCAGCCTCCCGAGTAGCTGGGACTACAGGCACCCGCCACCACACCCGGCTAATTTTTTTGTATTTTTAGTAGACACCGGGTTTCACTGTGTTAGCCAGCATGGTCTTGATCTCCTGACCTTGTGATCCGCCCGCCTCAGCCTCCCAAAGTGCTGGGGTTACAGGCGTGAGCCACCATGCCCGGCCTTATTTATTTATTTTTGAGACAGAGCCTTGCACTGTTGCCCAGGCTGGAGTGCAGTGGTGCGATCTCGGCTCATGGCAACCTCCGCCTCCCGAGTTCAAGCGATTCTCCTGCCTCAGCCTCCCGAGTAGCTGGGATTACAGGCGTCTGCCACCATGCCCGGCTAATTTTTTTGTATTTTTAGTAGAGACAGTGCTTCACCATGTTGGCCAGGCTGGTCTCGAACTCCTGACCTCAGGTGATCCACCTGCCTTGGCCTCCCAGAGTGCTGGGATTACAGGTGTGAGCCACCGCACCCAGCCCGTAGGTGAAACTCTTATTTCCTATGTCATTCTGCCATCACATGGGCTCTCTGCTTTTCCTGCAAGGGACTCTGGGGCTGCTTCCCTTGTCCTCTGCCCCGGCAGGACCCAGACTCACAGGTTTTGCTTCTCGAGATGCAAGACTTTCCTCTGTAACTCCTGATTCTGAGCAGTGCAAGCTGACATCCTGAAAGGAGAAAGACACATTGACATTCAGCATATGCCAGTCAGCAGACGGCCGCACTGACATCTTCCCCGGGAGGCCTCACGTTACAAGCAGGGAACCCAAGGTCAGAGAGGGGAAGTCATTCATCCAAGGTTACTTGGCAGGTCAGATGGGGCTGGGATTTGAACCCACATCGGCCTGGTTCCTAGGTCCCATTTCTGCATTAATACGGAGGGGGCTTCACTCAAAGCTGAGCCCCCCAGCCGGGTGTGGTGGTTGACACCTGTAATCCCAACACTTTGGGAGGTCGAGATGGGCGGATCACCTGAGGTCAGGAGTTCTAGACCAGCCTGGCCAACGTGATGAAACCCATCTCTACTAAAAATACAAAATTAGCCAGGTTTGGTGGTGGGCGCCTGTAATCCCAGCTACTTGGGAGGCTGAGGCAGGAGAATCGCTTGAACCTGGGAAGTGGAGGTCGCAGTGAGTCAAGATCACACCATTGCACTCCAGCCTGGGCAATAAGAATGAAACTCCATCTCAATAAACAAAAACAAACAAACAAAAACCCGCCAAGCCTCCTAGATTCAGGCAGTGATGTTTCCAGAAGATGAAATATCAGGACAACCGGACATCCCAGGAGATTCAAGTTTCAACTCTCCCCACCGACCCATGACCTTGAGCCACTTCACTCTCTGGTCTCAGTTTTTGTGTCTGTGAAATGGGATACAATTACCCAGGACATAGGGTGGTGGGGAGAATGACCCTGGATAAAGATGATGAGAAGCTTAGCAGATTGCATTTAAGAAAGGGGACAGACCAGGGCCAGGCGTGGTGACTCACGCCTGTAATCCCAGCACTTTGGGAGGCCGAGGCGGGCAGATCACGAGGTCAGGAGATGGAGACCACGGTGAAACCCTGTCTCTACTAAAAATACAAAAAATTAGCCGGGCACGGTGGCGGGCGCCTGTAGTCCCAGCTACTCGGGAGGCTGAGGCAGGACAATAGTGTGAACCCGGGAGGCGGAGCTTGCAGTGAGCTGAGATCCGGCCACTGCACTCCAGCCTGGGCGACAGAGCGAGACTCCGTCTCAAAAAAAAATCAAAAAGAAAGAAAGAGGACAGACCACGTGCAGTGGCTCACACCTGTAGTCCCAGCATGTTAGGAGGCTGAAGCAGCCTGATCACCTGAGGTCAGGAGTTCAAGACTAGCCTGGGCAACACGGTGAAACCCCATCTCTACCAAAAATACAAAAAAAAATTAGCTGGGCGTGGTGGCGGGCGCCTGTAATCCCAGCTACTGGAGAGGCTGAGACAAGAGAATTGCTTGAACCCAGGAGGTGGAGGTTGCAGTGAGCCGAGATCGCACCGTTGCACTTCAGCCTGGGCAACAGAGTGAGACTCTGCCACACACACAAAAAGGAAGGAAGTGTCTATCTTCAGGCAGAGGGTCAGAATAGGATGGGTCACACTGTCCTTTCTCCGCACACCTTCCAGGGGGCAAAGGGTCTCCCAAACCCTTGTCCTACACCGTCTCTAGGCATCTTCCCATCCCTGCAATCAGTAAGAAGCATGATCTCTTCCAGAGACGAGAATCACCTCCAATTTTGTCAGACCCTAAGCTGTGTGGTCTTAGCCACATCTCCTTCTCTCTGAGCCTCAGTTCCCTCCCCGAGTGTAGAGTCTGGGTCCAGCACTACCCACCGAGTCTCCAGGCCGTCGATATATTCCTTTTTCTTCTTCCTGCTTTCTTGGGCCGACTGCTTGTTCCGGATTTTCCGGCGGATTTTTTTCAGCACTCGCTCCTCGTACTGTCAAGTGCAATGGAGAGGAGGATGTCAGGGCAGCGAGTCCCCACTTGGAGGCCGGGGGCAGTGGCTCTCGCCTGTAATCCCAGCACTTTGGGAGGCCGAGGCAAGCGGACCACATGAGGTCAGGAGTTCGAGACCAGCCTGGCCAACATGGTGAAACCCTGTCTCTACTAAAAATACAAAAATTAGCCAGGCGCGGTGGCAGGTGCCTGTAATCCCAGCTACTCGGGAGGCTGAGGCAGGAGAATGGTGTGAACGTGGGAGGCGGAGGTTGCAGTGAGCCAAGATTGTGCCATTGCAATCTAGCCTGGGCAACAAGAGCGAAACTCCATCTCAATAAATAAATAAATGAATAAATAAATAAAAATAAAATTAAAAAATTTAAGTCTTCACTTTGGGGACAGTGGGACAGTCCCCACTGTCCTGATCCCACTTCACCTAACCTCTACCCCACAACTTCACCCCATCCTCTTTCCAGATGAGACATCCCCGAGGACCCACAGGCAGATTCCTAATGACTCAAAGCTACGCTTTGCGCAAACCCTCACAGAGTCTCTGGGAGGCGCCTGGGTCTGAGGGTCTCTTCCCAGCTCCCAATACTGTAAAATGGGCAACTGCCCACCGGACTTTGAGCACGGGTACCACTGTGTCACCTTGGGGCCATCTCTGGAAACAGTACCTTTCCCTGGAGACAGGAAGTGTTTCAAGACTAATTGATACATGCTTTTTCGTCTTTCTTTGCTTTCCTTTTTTTCCTTTTCCTTCCTTCCTTCCTTCCTTCCTTCCTTCCTTCCTTCCTTCCTTCCTTATGCCGCCACTTTGCCCATGCCTTCCCATACTCCCTCGCCCTCCCTCCCTCCCTCACTCCTCTCTCAATCTCACTCTCCTCTAACCTTTCTCTCTTTCTTGTTTTCTGCTCTTGTACTTGAGCCTGGTGCAGTGGCAGATGTCCCTTCCTTCCTTCCTTCCTTCCTTCCTTCCTTCCTTCCTTCCTTCCTTTCTTCCTTCCTTCCCTTTTTCCCTCCTTCCCTCCCTCCCTCCCTCCTTCCTTCCTTCTCTCTCAATCTCTCTCTCTCTTTCTCTCTTTCTTGTTTCACTCTTGTCGCCCAGGCTGGAGTGCAGTGGCAAGATGTCAACCTCACTACAACCTCCACCTCCCGGGTTCAAGTGATTCTCCCAACTCCAGCTGAGTAGCTGGGATTACAGGCCTTCACCACCATGCCTATTTTTAGTAGAGACGAGGTTTCACCATGTTGGCCAGGCTGGTCTCAAACTCCTGACCTCAGGTGATCCACCCATCTTTGCCTCCCAAAGAGCTAGGATTACAGGCATGAGTCACTGCGCCCGGCCAATAAGTGTCTTCAAATGGGAATGTCAGGCTGGGCGCAGTGGCTCACAGTGCTGTAATCCCAGCATTTTGGGAGGCCAAGGCAAGAGAATCGCTTAAGTCCAGGAGTTCAAGACGAGCCTGGGCAATATTTAGTAAAGATCCTGTCTCTACTAAAACAAAACAACAACAACAAAATTAGCTGGCTGTGGTGGTACATGCCTGTAGTCCCAGCTACTTGGGAGGCTGAGGCAGGAGGATCCCTTGAGACCAGGAGCTACTAACTGCAGATTGCACCACTGCAGTCCAGCCTGGGCAACAAAGTGAGATCCTATCTCAAAACAAACAACAACAACAACAACAACAGAAACAGAAACAGATGGGACCGGGCATGGTGGCTCACACCTGTAATCCTAACACTTTGGGAGGCCAAGGCTAGAGGATTGCTTGAGGCCAGGAATTTGAGACCAGCCTGGGCAACATAGCAGGATCCTATTTCTACGGAAAAAAAAAAAAAAATGCTGAGCGCAGTGGCTCACGCCTATAATCCCAGCACTTTGGGAGGTTAAGGCAGGTGGATCACAAGGTCAAGAGATTGAGACCATCCTGGACAACATGGTGAAACTCCATCTCTGCTACAAAAAAAAAAAAAAAAAAAAAAAATAGTGAGGTGGGGTGGGTTTATACACCTGTAATCCCAGCTACTTAGGAGGCTGAGGCAGGAGAATCGCTTGAACCTGGGAGGCAGAGGTTGCAGTGAGCCGAGATCATGCCACTGTACTCCAACCTGGGCAACACGGCGAGACTCTGTCTCAAAAAAAAAAAAAAAATTAGGCTGGGCACGGTGGCTCATGCCTGTAAACCCAGCACTTTGGGAGGCTGAGGTAGGCGGATTACCTAAGGTGGGGAGTTCAAGACCAGCCTGACCAACATGGAGAAACCCTGTCTCTACTAAAAATACAAAAAATTAGCTGGACATGGTAGCAGGCGCCTGTAATCCCAGACACTTGGGAGGCTGAGGCAGGAGAATCGCTTGAACCTGGGAAGCAGAGGTTGTAGTGAGACAAGATCGCGCCACCGCACTCCAGCCTGGGCAACAAGAGCAAAACTCCGTCTCAGAAAAATAAATAAATAAATAAATAAATAAATAAATAAATAAATAATTAGCTAGGCATAATGGGGTACACCTGTAGTCCCAGGTACTAGGGAGACTGAGGTGGGAGAATCACTTGAACTCCAGACGGGGAGGCTGCAGTGAGCCAAGATCACGTCACTGCACTCCAGCCTAGGCGACAGAGTAAGACCCTGTCTCGAAAGAAAAAAAAAAAAAGATGAGAATATCAAACTCAGGCATTGATAGTGGAGCAGGCTGAGTGGGGACTGCGGTTAGCTAGAGCCCAAGCAGCTACCCAGCCACTGACTGGTGCCTATGGAGGTTTCAGAATACGGAACGGAGGCCATTCAAGTCATTGAGTTGGTTTTCTGGGTTTTGTTTTGTTTATGTTTGTTTTTTTTGTTTTTTTTTTTTTGAGACGGAGTCTCGCTGTGTCACCCAGGCTGGAGTGCAGTGGCCAGATCTCAGCTCACTGCAAGCTCCGCCTCCCGGGTTTATGCCATTCTCCGGCCTCAGCCTCCAAGTAGCTGGGACTACAGGCGCCCGCCACCTCACCCGGCTAGTTTTTTGTATTTTTTTTTTTTTAGTAGAGACGGGGTTTCACCATGTTAGCCAGGATGGTCTCGATCTCCTGACCTCGTGATCCACCCGCCTCGGCCTCCCAAAGTGCTGAGATTACAGGCTTGAGCCACCGCGCCCGGCCTTTTTTATGTTTTTGATTTTTTGTTTTGTTTTTGTTTTTGAGACAGAGTTTCGCTCTTGTCACCCAGGCTGGAGTGCAGTGGCACCATCTCGGCTCACTGCAACCTCTGCCTCTTGGGTTCAAGGGAAATTCTCCTGCCTCAGCCTCCTGAGAAGCTGGGAGGCTGAGAAGCACTTTACAGGTGCCATCATGCCCGGCCTCAAGTCACTGAGTCCTCATGTAAAATCTACCGGTCAGAAAAAACATTATCAAGCAATTAAAAACTGTATAAAATGCAGTACAGTCGAATCAAAACATGTCTGCAGGGCCAGGCATGATAGATCACGCCTGTCATCACAACACTTTGGGAGACCAAGATCGGAGAATTACTTGAGCCCAGGAGTTCCAGCCCAGCCTGGGCAACATAACAAGACTCCGTTTCTACACACACACACACACACATACACACACACACACACACACACACACACACAGTTTAAATTAGCCAAGTGTAGAGGCGTGCACCTGTCATCTCAGCTACTTGAGAGGCTGAGGCAGGAGGATCTGTTGAGCTCAGGAGGTCAAGGCTGAAGTGAGCTATGATGGCACCACTGCACTCCAGCCAGACACAGCAAGACCCTATCTCCAAAAACACAGTTTGCTGCACCCAAATTGCTGCCACCTGGAGTCCGCCATTCATTCCTGGATGTGGATCGCTAACCTCTGAGTTGAATTTACGATGGGGTTTCTGGCTGATTGTTTTGGATCTGGTGACACACACCATAGCAATCTAGTATGGGTATTCTAAAGGTGAGACACATAGCCAGCGCAGTGGCTCATGCCTGTAAGCCCAGAACTTTGGGAGACCGAGGCGGGAGGATCACATGAGGTCAGGAGTTCAAGACCAGCCTGGCCAACATGGTGAAACCCCGTCTCTACTAAAAATACAAAAATTATCCGGGCGTGGTGGTGGGCGACTGTAGTCCCAGCTACTCAGGAGGCTGAGGCAGGAGAATCGCTGGAACCTGGGAGGCAGAGGTAGCAGTGAGCTGAAATCGTGCCACTGCACCCCAGCCTCGGTGACACAGAAAGACTGTAAATGAATAAGTAAAGGTGGGACACACACGCAGGTAAGTGCACGAAGGGGAGATGGACCCGGGGCTGGAAGTCCCCCCAGACTCACTTTAGTGAGGGGCAGCTGAGTGGGCAGGGTGATGCCTTCTTTAGCCAGCAGCTTCTTCTCATCCTCAGTGAGCACCAGCTCCTGACAGTGCTCAGCCCCAGGTCTCAGGAGGTGGGAGACCCCCAGGTGATGCTGTTGCTATGGAAGAAAGCAGAGGAATGACAGCGGGTACAGGGACACCAACCACCTTCAGGAAATGAAAGAGTCATCAGATCGAAAACACTATCTCCCCAGGCTGGGCACAGTGGCTCACACCTGTCATCCCAGCTACTCGGGAGGCTGAGGTGGGTGGATCATGAGGTCAGGAGTTTGAGACCAGCCTGGCCAACATGGTGAAACATGGTGAAACCCCGTCTCAATTAAAAATACAAAAAGTTAACCAGGCGTAGTGGTGTGTGCCTGTAGTCCCAGCTACTTGGGAGGCTGAGGCAGGAGAATTGCTTGAACCCGGAAGGCGGAGGTTGCAGTGAGCCGAGACCGTGACACTGCACTCCAGCCCTAGTGACAGAGTGAGACTCTGTCTCAATAAATAAATAAATAGCCGGGCCTGGTGGCGGGCACCTGTAATCCCAGCTACTCGGGAGGCTGAGGCAGGAGAATTGCTTGAATCTGGGAAGCGGGGGTTCCAGTGAACCAAGATCACGCCACTGCCCTCCAGCCTGGGAGACAGAGTAAGACTCCATCTCAAAAAAAAAAGGTGGCTCACATCTGTAGTCCCAGCACTTTGGGAGGCCAAGGCAGGTGGATCACTTGAGGTCAGCAGTTCGAGACCAGCCTGGCCAATATGGTGAAACCCTGTCTCTACTAAAAATACAAAAAGTCAGCCGGGCATGGTTGCGGGCGCCTGTAATCCCAGCTATCTGGGAGGCTAAGGCAGGAGAATTGCTTGAACCTGGGAGGCGCAGGTTGCAGTGAGCCGAGATCCAGCCTGGGCAACAGCAACTCCGTCTCAAAACAACAACAACAAAAATGATCACCCCACAATCTCCTTTGGCACCAGGACTCAAAATAACCAACACACAGTCCTTTGACTTGGCCATTCTACCTTCAGAAATCAGTCCTACAGATATCCTCATGCATAAAATGGTGTTTTTTTTTTGTTTGTTTGTTTTTTTTTGAGATGGAGTCTCGCTCTGTCGCCCAGGCTGGAGTGCAGTGGCGCGATCTTGGCTCACTGCAACCTCCGCCTCCCAGGTTCACGCCATTCTCCTGCCTCAGCCTCCCGAGTAGCTGGGACAACAGGCGCCCACCACCACGCCCGGCTGACTTTTTGTATTTTTAGTAGAGACGGGGTTTCACCGTGTTAGCCAAGATGGTCTCGATCTCCTGACCTCGTGATCTGCCCGCCTCGGCCTCCCAAAGTGCCAGGATTACAGGTGTGAGCCACCGCGCCCAGCCCTTTTGAGAGCTTTCTTCTTTCAATTTTATTATTACTATTATTATTTTTGAAACAGGGTCTTGCTACTTCGCCTGGGCTGGAGTGCAGTGGTGCTATCTTGGCTCACTGCAACCTCTGCCTCCTAGGCTCAAGCGATTCTCCAGCCTCAGCTTCCTGAGTAGCTGGGACCACAGGGCGTGCCACCATGCTTGGCTAATTTTTGAATTTTTTTGTAGAGATGGGGTTTCACTACGTTGCCCAGGCTGGTCTCAAGCAGTCTGTCCACTTCAGCCTCCCAAAATGCTGGGATTACAGGCGGGGTGCAGCAGCTCATGCCTATAATCCAGCACTGTGGAGGGCCAAGGCAGGAGGATCACCTGAGGCTAGGAGTTCAAGACCAACCTGGGAAACATAGCAAGACCCATATCTACAGAAAAAAATTAAAAGAAAAATTAGCTGGGTCTAAACTGGGTGTAGTGGCTCATGCCTGCTGTAATCCCAGCACTTTGGGAGGCTGAGGCAGGTGGATCACCTGAGGTCAGGAGTTTGAGACCAGCCTGACCAACATGGTGAAACCTCAAACCTCATCTCTACTAAAAAATACAAAATTAGGCCGGGCACAGTGGCTCACGCCTGTAATTCCAACACTTTGGGAGGCCGAGGCTGGTGGATCACAAGGCCAGGAGATCGAGACCATCCCGGCTAACACGGTGAAACCCCGTCTCTACTAAAAATACAAAAAAATTAGCCAGGCGTGGCAGCATGCGCCTATAGTCCCAGCTGCTGGGGAGGCTGAGGCAGGAGAATGGTGTGAACCCGGGAGGCGGAGCTTGCAGTGAACCGAGATCGCACCACTGCACTCCAGCCTAGGTGACAGAGCAAGACTCTGTCTCAAAAAAAAAAAAAAACAAAATTAGTTGGACCTGATGTCGCATGCCTGTAATCTCAGTTACTTGGGAGGCTGAGCCGGAGAATCGCTTGAACCTGGGAGGCGGAGGGAGGTTGCAGTGAGCCAAGATTGCACCATGCACTCCAGCCTGGGTAACAAGAGAGAACTGTCTCAAAAAATAAAATTAAAAAAAAAAGACAAGAAAAATTAGTTGGGTGTGGTGGTGCACGCCTGTAGTCCCAGCTACTTGGGAGTCTGAGGCAGGAGGATTGCCTGAGGCCAGGAGTTTGAGGCTGCTGTGAGCTAGGATTGTGCCGCTGCACTCCAGCCTGGGCAACAGAGTGAGATCGTGTCTCAAAAAAAAATTTTAAGATGATAAATAAAGCATTTAGAAGAGTGCTTGGCATATAGCAGGTGCATCCTCAGTTTTAGCTTTGTTCCTTTTGTTGTTGTTGTTGTTGAGACAGTCTTGCTCTGTTGGCCAGGCTGGAGTGCAGTGGTGCAATCACAGCTCGCTGCAGCCTTGACTTCCTGGGCTCAAGCGATCCTCCCACCTCTGCCTCCCAAGTAGCTGGGACCACAGGCATGTGCCCCCATGCCAGGCTCATTTTTGTATTTTTTCTATAGATGGGGTTTCACCATGTTGCCCAGGCTGATCTCAAACTCCTGAGCTCAAGCGATCTGCCTGCCTTGGCCTCCCAAAGTGCTGGGATTACAGGTGTGAACCACCGCACTCGGCCAGTTTTAGCTTTTTTTGTTGTTGCTGTTGTTACTGCTAAATACTACAGAGAAAGACGCCCCAGCCCAGGTGACAGTGAACCCAGGACTGGAATGTTCTCTAACTGTGGGCAAATTCCATGCCTTTCTGTGATTCAGTTTTCCAGTCTCTGAAATGGGGATATTTAGGTTCCTCGAACCCGAGCAGCCTTCCCAGATCCAACGCCCCATGGGAGGGTGTGGGGGTGCTCACCAGGTCCCCGCTGCTGCCCGAAAGGAGGAGGTCTTTCACGGTGAGATTGCATCGTGGGGGCACGTGCAACGGGTCAGCCTGTTTCTCAGCATAGGTCCTTCCTCCTGGACTCCACATTTCTGACCAGGGCAGTTGGGGACGGAAACAGGGAGAGTGTGAGATGGGAGGAGTCCTGAACTTCCAGCCTCTAACCACCTCCGCCACCAAGTCTCCCATGCTTCATCTCAACATTCGTAGGACTTTTGCCAGAGCTTGGAGTCCCCATGGCCTGGGTTGAAGGAGGCAGCCCTCACTAGTGGTTCGGTCGCCCCTCTGCTATAAGACGGGAACCCAGCCAGGCATGGTGGCTCACGCCTGTATTCCCAGCACTTTGGGAGGCCGAGGCAGGAGGATCATCTGAGGTTAGAAGTTCAAGACCAGCCTGGCCAACATGGTGAAACCCCGTCTCTATTAAAAATACAAAAATTAGCTGGGCCTGGTGGCGTGCACCTGTAATCCCAGCTGCTCGGGAGGCTGAGGCAGGAGAATCACTTGAATCCGGGTGGTGGACGTTACAGTGAGCTGAGATTGCAGCACTGCACTCCAGCCTGGATGACACAGCGAGATGCCATCTCAAAAAAAAAAAAAAAAAAAAAAAGGTGGGGACCCAAATTCAACAGGGCTTGATTCTGTCTGTCCCACAAGGCTGAGGAAGACACAGGACATTGTCAGGAGACACCAGCTGATTCAAAAGGGAGTGGCTGTTATCACACAGAATTACAGGTTAGATTTGCAGCCCGCCAGGCATTATCTCACCCGAGGGGCAGGGACGAGTTCTGATTCACCTCCGGTTGTCCCCTCCTGGTACCCGGCATGCAGTAGGCATGCTGTCTGAGCACACAAACTTCGGGTCAGATAACCTTTGGTTCCCATCCTGGTTGGGCAGGGCTGTGTGACCTTTAGTAACTGACTTCACCTCTCTGAGCCTCAGGGTTTTTTTTTTTTTTTTTTTTTTGAGACAGAATTTCACTGTGTCACCAGGCTGGAGTGCAGTGGTGCAATCTTGGCTCACCACAACCTCTGCCTCCCGGGTTCAAGTGATTCTCCTGCCTCAGCCTCCCGAGTAGCTGGGATTACAGGCGCCCACCACCACACAGCTAATTTTTGTATTTTTAGTAGAGACAGAGGTTTCACCATGTTGGCCAGGATGGTCTCGATCTCTTGACCTTGTGATCTGCCCACTTTGGACTCCCAAAGTGCTGGGATTACAGGTGTGAACCACTGTGCCCAGCTGGTTATTTTGTTTGTTTGTTTTTTGTTTTGAGACAGAATCTGGCTCTGTCACCCAGGATGGAGTGCAGTGGCATGATCTCAGCTCACCGCAACCTCTGCCTCCCAGGTTCAGGCAATTCTCCTGCCTCAGCCTCCCAAGTAGCTGGTACTACAGGTGCCCCCCACCATGCCCGGCTAATTTTTGCATTTTAGTAGAGACGGGGTTTCACCATGTTGGTGAAGTCCTAACCTCAAGTGATCCGCCTGCCTCAGCCTCCCAAAGTGCTGGGATTACAGGCGTGAGTCACCACACCTGGCCTGAGCCTCAGTTTTGTCGACTCTCCAATGGGACCAAGAAGAGCTCATAGCAAGGCACAAGGGACAAAGGCCACCCGGAGGCCAGGTATCTCCAGACAGGACTCTGCCTGGCCTGCCGGGACTGCTTAATCAACAGAGTAAATCATTACCGATCTGCTGTTCCTCACGCCTAGGAGGAGCGCCCTGGAATCTGGGACCCCGTAACCTCATGCACTTTTTTTTTTTTTTTTTTTTTTGAGGTAGAGTCTCGCTCTGTCGCCCAGGCTGGAGTGCAGTGGCCGGATCTCAGCTCACTGCAAGCTCCGCCTCCCGGGTTCCCGCCATTCTCCTGCCTCAGCCTCCCGAGTAGCTGGGACTACAGGCGCCCGCCACCTCGCCCGGCTAGATTTTTGTATTTTTAGTAGAGACGGGGTTTCACCGTGTTAGCCAGGATGGTCTTGATCTCCTGATCTCGTGATCCGCCCGTCTCGGCCTCCCAAAGTGCTGGGATTACAGGCTTGAGCCACCGCGCCCGGCCTACCTCATGCACTTTTATGGAGCATCTACAGGCCGGGCGCCGTGGCTCACACCTGTAATCCCAAGACTTTGGGAGGCTGAGGCAGGCAGATCACCTGAGCTCAGGAGTTTGAGACAAGCCTGACCAGCATGGTGAAACCTCATCTCTACTAAAAAATAAAAATTAGGCCGGGCGCGGTGGCTCACGCCTGTAATCCCAGCACTTTGGGAGGCCAACGCGGGTGGATCACAAGGTCAGGAGATTGAGACCATCCTGGCTAACACGGTGAAACCCTGTCTCTACTAAAAATACAAAAAATTAGCCGGGCGTGGTGACGGGCGCCTGTAGTCCCAGCTACTCGGGAGGCTGAGGCAGGAGAATGGCATGAACCAGGGAGGCGGAGCTTGCGGTGAGCCAGGATCACACCGCTGCACTCCAGCCTGGGCGACAGAGCAAGACTCTGTCTCAAAAAAAAAAAAAAAAAAAAAATTTAAATAAATAAATAATAAAATAAAAATTACTGGGCATGGTGGCACATGCTTGTAATCCCACCTACTCAGGAGGCTGAGGCAGGTGAATTGCTTGAACCTGGAAGGCGGAGGTTGCAGTGAGCAGGGTGCACCACTTTACTCCCAGCTGGGTGACAGAGTGAGACTCTGTCTCAAAAAAAAAAAACCTACTAGGAACCAGGCATGGAAATTTTGAGACCACGTAGAAGGCAAGATCTGACTTGAGGCTGTGCTTGTCAGCGCCATGCCGTTGCCTGCTCCGCGGGGTTGCATCAAGCTCACCTGTGGTTTATCTCATTTGCTCAGCCTTCCAATGGGACTCTTGGATTTCAGGATCTGGAAAATGGGCTCCCAATAGCATCCACATGAAAACATGGAAACACCTAACCAAGGGAGACACGTGTCCTGAGTTTGAGTTCAGACCCAACTCAAATTGTTGTGTGACCTTGGACAAGATGCCAACCCTCTCTGGGCCTCCGTTTCCTCACTTACAAGAAGGGCCTGGAGCAGCGTGAGGGTGGTGCCGAGGCAGACATACAACAGAACTCACACCCAGGTCTATGGTCACAGAGGCTTCAGGCACTTAGTCACTGGCCTGGGGGTGTGGTGGGCAAGAGTTGCTAGGATGACAGTAGAGGAGGCGGGCCCCACTTACCAGGCTGGGCAGGATGCGCGGCTGAGGCCCGGCGATCGCCTCCGTGGAGGGTGTCCTGGGTCGGAGGGAGGTCAGCCAGAGATGCCATAATACTTGCCTTGGGGGGACCAGAGTGGGAGCTGGGCAGTGAGTCTCCGGGCCCAGGATGGAGCTGAAATGGAAGTAAAGGTGGAGTTTGGCTGGTTCTATGCTGGGAGGGTGGACAGGGAGGGGATAGGAGTCATTTGCTCTTTTTCCCCGTTTATGTCTGGCCAAACAAGCAGTGACCTCTTTGGGCCACAGGTGTCCTTCCTTTCCACCAAGATGGAATTAATGCTTCTGCTTCCTCTGCTTGGGGCTATTGAGCTCAAACACATTGGCACTTAATAAAAAGAAAACCCAGCCCAGGGCCAGTACAGTGGCTCATATAATCCCAGCACTTTGGGAGGCTGAGGGAGGGTGGATCACTTGAGGGGCCAGGAGTTCCCAGATCACAAGCCTGGCTGGCAGCAGTGAAACCCCATTTCCTACTAAGAAATACAAAAAAATTGGCTGGTGACTGTTGGTGGGTGTCTGTAGTCCCAGCCACTTGGGAATCTGAGAGGGAGAATCACTTGAGAACCCCATAAGATGGAGGCTGCAGTGAGGCAGATCACACCCACCACCCAGGTGATGGAGACAGAGACTCCTCTTACTCAAAAAAAAAAGAACAAAGGGCCAGGCCATTGGCTCAAGCACATAATCCCAACCAATTTGGGAGGCAAGGCAGGCAGATCCTAAAGAGTCGGGAGTTGGAGACCAGCTGACCAACATGGAGAAACCTATCTCTACTAAAAATACAAATTAGCCAGTGGTGGTGCATCCTACTGTAATCCCAGCTCGGGGAGGCTGAGGCAGGAGAATCGCTTGAATTTAGGAGGCAGAGAGGGGTTGTGGTGAGCCGAGGATTGCGCCACTGCATCTAGTCTGGGAGGGCAAAACAAGGAAACTCTTCTAGAGAAAGAAAGAGAGAGAGAGAGGAAGGAAGGGAGGAAGGGGAGGGGAGAGAGGGAGGAGAGAGAGAGAGAGAAAGAAAGACGAGGGCAAGGAAGAGGAAAGGGAGGAGAGGGAGGGAGAGAAGGGAGAGAGAAGAGGAGGGGAAAGAGAGAGAGAGACAGGAGGGGAAGGGGAGGGAAGGGAAAGGGGGGAGGAGAGAGGCGAGGGAGAGGGGAAAGAGAGAGAGGAGAGGAAGGAAGAGGAGGAAGGGAGGGGAGGGGAGGGAGACAGAGAGAGAGAGAAAGAAAGAAGAAAAAAAAAAAGAGAGAGAGAGAAAGAAAGAAAGGGCTGGGTGCAGTGGCTCACCCCTGTAATCCCCCCACACTTTGGGAGGCCTAGGCAGATCACCTGAGGTCAGAGTTGAGACCAGCCTGGCCAGCATGAGTGGCTCACCATCTCTACTAAAAATACAAAATTAGCGGGCATGGTGGCAGGTGCCTGTAATCCCAGCTACTCCAGGGAAGTTGAAGAAGGTAGGAGAATCGCGCTTGAACCACCACAGGAGTACGGAGGTTGCAGTGAGCCAGATCACGCCATTGACGTGCCTCCGGCCGGGGGAACAAGAGATAAACTCTGTCTCGAAACAGAAGGCCGGGGCGCGGTGGCTCACGCCTGTAATCCCAGCACTTTGGGGAGGCCGAGGCGGTGGATCACAAGGTCAGGAGATGGGAGACCATGGTGAAACCCCGTCTCTACTAAAAAATAGAAAAAAAAATTAGCCGGGCGCAGTGCGGGAGCCTGTAGTCCAGCCACGGGAGGCTGAAAGGGGAGGTAGGAGAATGGTGTGAACCCGGGAGGCGGAGGAGCTTGCAGTGAGCCGAGATTGCGCCACTGCACTCCAGCCTGGGCGACAGAGACTCCGTCTCAAAAAATAAAAATAAAAAAGTAAAAATAAAAAAAAAAAAACAGAAAGAGAAAGAGAGAGTAAAGAAGAGAAGGAAGGGAAGGAAGGAGAAAAAGAAAAAGAAGAAGAGAGAGGGAAGGAAAGGAAAAAAGGGAAGGAAAGAAGGAAGGAAGGAGAGAGAGAGAGAGAGAGAGAAAGAAAGAAAAAAGAGAGGAAGGAAGGAGAGAGAGAGAGAGAAAAAAGAAGATAAAAAAAAGAAAAGAGAGAGAGAAAGGAAGGAGAAGGAAGGAGAGAGAGAGAGAAAAGAAAGAAAAAAGAAAGAGAGAGAGGAAGGAAAGGAAGGGAGAGAGAGAGAGAGAGAAAGAAAGAAGATAAAAGAGAGAAAGGAAGGGAGAGGAAGGAGAGAAGAGAACGAACCAGCCAGGGAGAGTCACCCCAAGTTTGAGTATGAACCTAACTCCCAAATTGCTGTGTGACTTTGGATGAGTTTCCCTGCACTCTGGGCCTCCCACTTCCCCACCACCGTGAAGGGGAGCTAATGCTATGCAAATGATGTGTAGCTAAAATCACAGCTGACCCATTAAATTGCACTGTAGAGGCCAGCAGAGCTCTGGCTACAGGCTCTGGCGAGTCCCAGCCGGACATGCGTGGGGCCTCAGTGGGACCGCCTGGAGCTCACTGTGTGGCCCCCAGGCAGCTCTGATGGGCTCCTCACCTGTAGTCCTTGCGTGGCCCCAGGTAAAATCGCCAGCTCACGTGTCTCAGGATGCCGTCTGCCCGGTCAAACAGGAGATCCCGGGGAGTTCAGAAGCCAGCCAGGTGGGGTCCATGAGGCGAGCAGAACAAGCCATCTGGGGTGTGAGGAACAGGTGAGATTACACACGTAGCCCTCCCCACCTCCCATGTGCGCAGCTCCTTCCAGCTCGGGTTCAGTGGCCGCTCTGCCTCCCAGGTTGGGCCAGCCACTGCCTCGCTAGGACTCCCCTTCAAATCTGGACTTTGAGGTTGATAAGAATTCACGGTGTGAGCCAATTTCTTTTAAAGTGCTGGAAGAGGCTGGATGTGGTGGCTCACACCTGTAATCTCAGCACTTTGGGAGAGGCCAGGGCAGGGAGAGATCACTTGAGCCCAGGAGTTCAAGACCAGCCTGCGCCAGAAGATAGAAGACCTATCCCTATAAAAATAATTTTAAAAATTGGCTGGCTATGGTGGCACACACTTGTCGTCCCAAGCACACAGGAGACAGGGTAGGAGGATCCCTTGAACCCACGAGGTTGAGGCTGCAGTGAACTATGGCCGCCCCATATGCTCCAACCTGGGTCATGGAGTAGAACCTTGTTTCAAAAAACAAAAAAGTATGCCAGGCATGGTGGCTCATGTCTGTAATCCCAGCACTTTGAGAGGAAGCCGAGGTGGGCCGCGTCACTGCCTGAGGTCAGGGGTTTGAGACCAGCCTGGCCAACATGGTGAAACCCTCTCTCTATGAAAAGTACAAAGGTGGCGGGCGTGAGGCGGGTGCACACCTGTTCTCCCAGTACTTGGGAGGCTGAGGCAGGAGAGATCTGCCCCAAGACCTGGGAATTGGAGGTTGCAGGCTGAGATCATGTCGTGCATTCTAGCCTGGGCGACAGGGAGACTCCATCTCAAAAAATAAAAATAAAAATAAAAATAAAATAAAAATAAAAAAAATAAAAGCCAAAATAAAATAAAAAAAAAGTGGGGAGGCCCTAGCTAGAGATGCCGCTTGCCTCTCAGGCCTTCACAGCCTCCTAAGGAGGTGCCCACTCCTGGGAGGCAGGGCACTTGGAAGAAAAAGGGCAGCCCCAGGGCAAAGACACACAGTTTGCTCATTGCATCTACTCTGGGCCTCAGTCTTCCCATCTGTACAATGGGGAGGCGAGAGAGATGGGGTTTCTTGCAGCTCTGGCAGCAGGAGGCTTTCCCAGCCTGGGCTCCCACTCTGCCATGAGGACCTGGCAGGGGCTCACCTTTCCAGAAGAAGCTAAATCCATATTCATGGAGTCCCATGTCCAAGCTCTGTCCTGCAGATGCTTGGGCGGGAGTCGCCCAGCTGGAGGCCACCCACTGCCTGGCAGCAGCCCCTACCCGGGGCAGGAGCAGCCTCCACAGCCCTCTGTGGCTCTGTCACCACTCCCAAAGATGCTGAAGCAGCCCTAGGCCGCTCAGCCCGCCTCCAGGTGCTGATTGGTGGACAGCGTGGAGAGACAGGGTTGAGAGCCATTGACACGGACACAGGCAGAAAGAAGAAAGGGAGGAAGACCGTTATCTGGGTGTTTGGTGGTTTTCAGCCCTCAGTGGGCAGGTCAAGTCTGGGGTACCTCAGCTGCCAGCGACCTCTCCCCCACTTACAGGAGGACTTTTTCTTTTTCTTTCTTTTTCCGAGACGGAGTCTCGCTCTGTAATGGCTGGAGTGCAGTGGCACCATCCATCTCGGCTCACTGCAACCTCCGTCTCTTTGGTTCAAGGTGATTCTCAGCCTCCGCCTCCTGAGTGGCTGGACCCTGGGTCCCTGCCACCACGACAAGCTAACTTTTTGTATTTTTAGTAGAAACGGGGTTTCACCATGTTATTGGAGGCTTTGGGCTTGAACTCCTGACATCGTGATCGGCCCACCTCGGTCTCCCAAAATGAATAATGGGGATTACAGGCGTGAGCCACCGCAACCGGGGTCTTAGCTTTTCTCTTCAGATTCCTAGATGGAGTTCTGTGGGATAGCCCAGGGCCCTTACATGAAGCCAATCTCCTGGAGACGAAACAAGCCAAGAGGACCAGCCCAGACATACTTCACTGAAGTCCGTTCCTGCCCAGCAGCTCCCATCACTTCACCCCACCCACCAACCTCCAGCCCCAGCCCCCTCCCGGGAGGCCAGCCTTGGGTTTCCGCCTCCGAGTCCCCATGGCGATTCTGTACAGTAATTCTCTGAATACCTCTCGTTCCCATTGAGTCAACAAATATTTATGGAGCCAAAGGCTGGTCCCTGCTTGGGAGCCTTTGCACCTGCTGGCCTCTGCCTGGGCTTTCTCTCTGCACGTACCCTCCCTCTTCTCTGGCTCTAGGTCACTGTATTGATACATTTTTTAAGTA